AGCAAGACCCTCTTCTTCATCACTATCACCGCCGATGTCAACATTGCCCGAAGTGTAAAAAATTGGGGCATCCTTATAGTCACCATGCTCCTCAACTTCTTCAATGAGAAGTGTCTTGTTCCGATTATTGCCCATGTTTTTGCGGCAATCAAAAGATCTGTGTCCTGGTTCACCACACTTCAAACACTTGAAGGTTCCACCTTGAGGGGGATTGCAGTTTCCAGAAGCACCATTAGGATGAGGAGCTTGAGAGGAAGAAGCACCCTTATCCATAAATTTGGAAGGAGGACTAGCTTTGGCAAAGCTAAGAGGGGACGGACCCAGCCTAAAACCACCCCAAAACCCTTCTTGGGAGTATTGTCCCATTTGGGACGCACGGCAGCTTTGTTACTTGTCCATGGCTAAGGCTCAATTATAGGTTTCAAAAACATTATACAAGTATGCAAGGCAAGAACATTTTAGATAGAAGACTTCAAGCCACTCACATAACGAACCACCTGTTGCTCCTCACTTTCATTAAATCAACCCGTGCAATGAGTTGATAAAAAGATTTCGTGTACTCGCCCACACTTCCAACTTGCTTGAGAACATGAAGGTTTTGGTTAACACTTTGAAGATAGTTGGACGGTAGAAAATGCCTCTTCAACTTCTTCATCTTGTACCAATCACGGATTTTCTCTTTCCCACATCGCCAACGACCAAGTTGAAGTTGTTCCCACCAAGCGGAAGCCCTTCCTTTCAACCGGATAACAACTAACTTTATCTTTTTCTCGTTGGAAACCTCTCTATAATCAAAGATATGCTCAATAGTGTTGAGCCAATCTATGAATTCATCGGGATTAAGGCTTCCATGAAAGTCGAGGAACTCAATCTTGATGTTGTTTTCCCACTTGTGTTCAAGCCTACCCACATCCACTCGACGCCTTTGCGGAGCCCAAAAAAGATTATCAAAAGAGCGATCGGAACCATCACTACCACCGGTAAGAGGTAGGAGACATTGCACCATCTCGGTTTAAATTGCAATTTGGCGTCTCATCTCGGCCATTTCATCTCTTGGATATGGAACCCCATTGTTCTCGTTATCATCACCCAAATCCGGGGCATAACCCCTACCACAACCACCCCGACAACCAGGTCCCGGTTGAGCCATTAACCCCCAAAATTTGCAAAGTCATAGTCACAACCCAAAATGTGTAAAGTCACAGTCCAAGAACAATAATGCAACAACCCAACAGTGCAACAGTTCAAGAAATGATGCAAAAATGGACCAGCACTAAAATTTTAGACAAAATTCACAATCTGTATAATGGAAATGAACAACCCACGAATGGAAACAAGGATGATCGAAATACCTGTGTGAAACTAGAGTCAACCTCGAGCAAGAATCACTCTGAGAAGTCCAAATTCCACTACTGAAGTCGTGATGTTAGTGAGGCCCAGAATTGGAATGCACAATCAGTTGTTTGCAAGTGGTGGATTCAACTTAGATAACTAGGACAGAACCCATTGGTTGAAGCAACCGATTCAAGAACTCGAATCAAGCGTTAGGTCACCTTCCAGTAATTGTGAACTCAAATCGACGTTGGACTGGACCCAACGAAGTCGACTTCAACAACAATCCAGATTTGCGAACTCACTTCAATGTAGCCTTTGATTTTGAAATCGCAAGATGCGATAGGGCTTCAAACCACGATGGGTCTTCAATTTTGAGTCTAGATCTTCGACTTCAAATCATGAAATCAACCTTCCATTCGCAAGCCAAAGACCCAAAACAAATCCAAAGCAGATTTTGAGGATCGACTAGGGTTCACGTACTGGAATACGAAGTTGAACAAGGGCTTTGAACTAGAATACGAACTCGATCGAAGGCTTCGAACACAGATGCAAGTGCGATCGTGGATTGCGACTGTTTCAAAGCTCTCAAATTAGGGCTTTGATATCTGACTACTCTAGATGACGACTCGCGATATTTGATTCAGATTGGGGTTCGAAGAACAGGTCAGTTTTCTTAGGTAATGATCTGTGGTAAATTCGAAAAGAATAGGATCTAAATCTTGAAGCTTTGATACCAAAATGATGAGGTCCAAGAACAAGAGAGAAATTTAGAGAGAATATCTCCAATCAATTAAATGTCATATCATCAAAGTTGGTTACAAAATGGTTATGACTTCTCTAGATATAGGCTAACAACTACCCACCACTAACTATCACATGCCAAGCACATGATATCCTACATCAGCTTGTAACCTTCCACACATTCAAATTATTGATTAGTAACCATGACTATCATTGGTTTGTCTATATAACTAAGGTGTAGGTGAAGCTTAACACTTCCCATGGAATCATGCTTGAAAAGAACAATGAGGTAATCCCTAAACTAAGGTGTAGGTGAAGCTTAGAAAGTGGATTATTTTAAAAGCTTTTATCAACTTTTGTGTTGGACTTTTGTAGTAGTTTGATTTGTGTGTTTGAAAGATGTACATGAATGGGCCCATTGCCTAACAACGGAAGTTTTTGGTGCCATTGGGTATCTAACATGACATTGGAGCTTTAGTTCCAAGAGGTGATTAATACTTTTGGGCATTCCATTGCCAATTGCTTGAAATCAACAATATGGGAGGTTTTCCATCACTAGTTAGGTTTTGTCGTCAAAAGACCCTATCAATAGTTCAAGCTCCCACGTGCTGATCTTTCTGAATCAAAACTAACCAACTAGTTCCTAACATTAGAATTAAAAGAACTAACCAGTCTCCACATGCATACAAAGAATTTATTAATCTCCCATCAAGCAATTTCCTGCCAAACTTCTCATAGACAAAATGAAATGCCTGCAGTATAGATTTGACCATGAACATAGGGAGACTAAGATGAATAATGTGCCTGTTTGGTGCAGCGTCTTGAAGAAAGTTGAAAGCTGAAAATCAGAAAGCAAAACCTAAAACCACCCCTCCTTCAGCTTCCCAATAATTAACTTGTTTAAGATATTTTGCCTCATAAGCCATGAGCAGAAGTTGCACCAAACACTCTGGCACAAAACTCCCAAAATATTATAAAAAAAAAAAGAAAAGAAAAGAAAAAGGAAGCCATAAGCAGCCCCTATAAACTGCACCATACAAGGCCAATATCCATTGGATTAAAGATTTTAAAAAGTGGATAGCTATGCATTATTGGAAATTCCTTCATTTTGCTTTAGATGTGTCACTTTCAACATAATGTTATATATCCTCTTACTTTTGATAATTCATTTTTACAAAGTAGGTCAGCCAATATAGTCTGAGAAGATGAAAGCAAATGACCATGGCTCCCCTAGCAAATAAAAAATGCAAGGGGAAGTGATAAATTGATTCCTCATAATTCTCACTAATGGAACTCCCACCCTACTAATCAAATTATCTATGGTAGGCAATTGCTTTTACCTGTTGCCCACAAGAATAAAGCCATTTCTGGTGGTGCACAAGATCCACGTATTATACTAATGAAGAAATCTCTACTGATTGGTATTAACCTCAAGTGATTAGAATGAAAAATGTGTGAACTAATTGCCAGAGCAGTCATTCCATACTATCACATCATCCTCTCTCTAATGAATCTAAACCTAGTACAGTTCATGATGCAACTTATCCTGTGGTTTCAAGACAAGAAAATACTAATTGGGACATAAAAAGAAAAGAGAAGATGGAATATAAGACAAGGAAAGAAGAAAAGTTTCAAAGAAATAGGTAGATTAGAGAAGGGGCAAGATAGAAAAGTAAAAGAGAAAATAAGATGAGAAAACGAACAAGAGAACATAATAAATTTTAATGAACATTCTAACAAAGAAAAAGAAAGTAAAAGGAGAAACAACTCCCAAGAAGGAGGTAAGAAAGAAAAAAAAAATTAAACATAGGAGAAGAGTGACAAAATAAAGAAGTGAAGATAAGTATGTAACATCCCATCCCATCCCATCCTGCATCAGTTAGGGAGGAAAAATTCATTGGCTATAAAAGTAAGTTCACATCCCTTTCTAGAAACAACTCATTTTAAAGACGCAACGTCTATTCTAAAGCAGACAACTAAGAAGCACGGACACATGGGCACAATTTTATTTATTTATTTTTAAATGGACACCAACATGCAGGGGACAAGTGCAAAACATATAATCTGACATATTTGCTATGTGTCATATTTTTTTGATATTATATATTTATTCTATGTCAAATATTTATTCTCATCAAATTCATCAATCTCAGGTATGCTATTTTAGTGAAAATTTTTTTAAAAATGGGACATTGAATGTCCCCAACGTGCCCCTAGCGTCTACGATTCCTCAAACTTGTCTGACATGTGTTCTAAGTGTGACTAGCGTGTTTCCATGTCAGACACTGGAATGTGACCATCAGAAAGGCATTTGTGCTTCATAGTTAGACAATGTCATTATGGTTCAAGATGGTGACATTACAATTAATGGGTGAAGAAAGAGGAGAGATAGAGTTCTAAATTTATGATTTTCTTTCATCTTTTTGGAGGTTCCTCTTGATTAAAATAGTAAGGCCTATTACTTGGTTTCCCAAAAACAAGTAGAAACTATTGTCCCAAAAATAGTGATATAAAAAGGCCCAAATTTCATTCCTGAAACCGCTAAAACTCCTAGAAAGGTCAAAATACAACAGAATTAAATTTTAGGACCTCAATAGGACTAAAGAGTAACATAAACAAACTGAATTATCAACTTCATACACACACGCGAGGGCGAGCGCGCGCGTGCACACACACACACGCATATATATATATATATATAGGTTTGAAGAAAACAACAGAAACACTAGTTATACAAAACCATCGAGAAATCACCCAGAAGAAGCACATACATCTATATGGTTACAATAAAAGCTAAATGACTTGGAATTATTATATAATAATTTTTACAGCAATACAAATCAAGTTTGAGTTTCGCAAAACTGAATGTCTATTGCTTGAGCATTAATTAAATGAATACAAGATGCAAATCTTAATGAACTGACCTTGTTTTGACACGAAAGGTAACTCTCTCCCCAACCACCAGAAGCAAGCTGTCTTGACAAAAGAAAATCACAGGCCTTACAAATGCTAGAACAGTTGTCGTAGCTCTTTCCACCAGCCACTAATCCCTTTACCCCAAACCATGTGCCATATGTGAAGCAAACTCCCCAAGAGCCATACCTATTGAGAAACATTAAATATTTATATATATTCCGATTCTCTTGACTGCAATTATTAAAGGCTTTAGTAGAATACTTCAGGAAAATAAAGTACTTTCTTTTTGACAAGTAAAAAATAAAGTACAGACACATAACAGGCCCCTAAACATTGGTTACACAAAGCTGAAAATTTGACACACCAGAAAAGCCAGCATGCAACCAGAGCATACAATATATTGTGTATCTTCTGCAGAAGGAAATGAGAAAATAACATGAAAACGGAAAACAAACCATGAGCCATCTGGTGCTTGTATCTTTTCAATATACGTAACAGCTCTTTCAATACACCATTCTATTTCTTCTCTCCGATGCCCAGGGTATAATTTCTTAAATGATGCCAAAGCTTGAATTGCAGCTGAGGTACATTCCACATAACTACATAATAGTTGTAGTTGGTTATTAATAAGGGTTAGTACACAATGGGATCTGAAAATAATTACAGTAAAGGTGCTGATGCTTACGGATAGTCAATGACAATGTCGCCGAATGTCTCAGCAGGGTTGAGTAACTGAGAGTGAAGAAAACAAAAGCAGAATTATGCTTCCCTAGATGAAGAAGCAGTAAAATTGAAAGAAAGTTCAGTTGTAATATATTCTATAATCTACATTAACTGACCACAACCGAACCATACTTGCACCACAAAAGAAAACACAATCGAACCACAAAAGAAAAGAAAACACTGCACAGGTAAATTTACCATGAATAACTGATACTAATAATCGAACTATCAACTGTGAAAGGAATGCTTGTTTTTTATGGTCCATAGTTTTGATAGTTTCCGTAGTTGTTTTGGCTAGTTGTTAGTGTATCTTTTTTAGGATTTTTTCTCCTATATAATTGGGGGGTATAAACGTTGTAATCAGATCAAGAGTCAATACAATATTATTCTTCTCTCTCCAAACTAACATGGTATCAGAGCATACTCATCGAAATCCTGGATTGCCTCTATGATAGTGTAGTTTGGCTCCCTATGGTTTGTCTCAATTCATATCTAGTTCATCTCCCTTTGAAGCCCTTCAATTGTCTCTGTTCACATCTTGTTCTTCTCTCCTTGAAGCTCATCGCCCCTTAATCGTGAAGCCTCTTCAATTGAGAAACCCTAGCTCTTCATCGAACTCTATCTCCCTCTTTGAAGCCCAGTGTTCTTGTCTCTTCAAAGATGCCTCTCTCTATTTTATGTTCCTCTTGCAGTGGGCCTTGGATTGTGTAGCCCAGAGTTGTTGGAGTGTTCTTCAAAGCACAGTGTTCAATTGTGATTCAAAGTAGAAAGTGACTTCTAATGGATTGTGTAGCTCTGGGTTATCCAAAACCAACTCGACTCAAATTAATTTATCTGATTCCAGACAGTAGCAAACCCTACTTCTTGTCTCTTTATTTGCAATCTCTCTCCCATCTTTTCATCATGTTTGAGGAAAAATTGCAATCTATTAGCATCCTCTTGAATGGAGATAATTATTCCTACTGTCCAATATGAGGAATTTTCTCATTGGCAAGGAACAATGGGGCTATGTGATGCGTTCCACCTCTAGGCCTACTGATACTAAGGCAGAGGGACATCAAAAAGTTGTGCACATATGGGATAAAGAGAATGCGCAGGTACTTACTTGGTCACACAACTCTGTAAAACCAAGTATTGGGATGAATTTTTCTAAGTATAACACAACAACGAAGTGTAGGACTATTTGCAGAACATGGACCTTGTGTCTAATTTTGTCAAACAATATGAACTACAGATGTCTATTCGAAATGCCAAACAAAGAGAGATGTCAATTCAGGAGTTCTATAAAGAGATGACAACTTATTGGTATCAGTTAGCACTTATGAAACCTCTTGACTTTCGGTGATTGGATAGTTATGTTCATTACAGAGAGAGGCAAAGGTTGGTAGTACACTTTCTTATGGCCCTTAGTGATCAATTTGAGCCCCTTCATGTCGCTATTCTACATCGGTCCCCTTTGCCTTCCGTTGATGGTGTTGTTCGAGAGCTTATTGATTGTTTACTTAAGATGTCTCAAACTGCCTCAATATATCACAATCAATAGTCGCTACTTTTACTAATGCAATCCAAATGCAAATCAAGATCAAATTGAGAGAGAGAAGACAAACGCCCTAGGTAGGGGTAAAACCCCTAAGGGCTAGAGAGAGAAACCAAACTCTACTCTAATCACAATGAATATTTTTTAGTAAAAAACTAACTACAATGGTATTACCATAAGTTTCCTGAATAATAACCCGTATATCAATTGTCTCATAACACAAAGAATACATATGATTATATAATAATCCTAACCTTAAGACTAAAAAGGAAAAGGAAACACTGCCATATATATACAAAATATACACTACCATATATATAAACCTAACCTAATATTCTCACACCCCCGCTCAAACTCAAGGTGTTTTAACAAAAAACATTGAGAGTTTGCCAAGAAGAAACTAAAACCGAGCAGTGGTGTGAGTCTTAGTAAAGAAGTCAGTATGTTGCAGAGCCGAAGAGACGAAAGGAAGCAAGATAGAGCCAAATTGCAGATGCCACAAAGTGACAATCATTCTCAATGTGCTTTGATCGCTCATGGAAGACAGTATTATGAGCAATTTGAATAACACTACGATTATCACAATAGAGGGAGGTCAGAGAAGACTGAGAGATGACCAAGTCAGAGAGAAGACAACGAAGCCAGACGACTTCAGCAGTAGCATGAGCCATAGTACGGTACTCAACTTCGGCAATAGAATGGTTAACAACAATTTGTTTCTTGCTTTTCCAAGAAATCAAGGAATCGCCAAGAAACATACAGAAACCAGAAGTGGACTTATGATCTGTAATATCACCAACCCAATCAGCATAGGCTACTAAAGCCAAGGAAGAAGTAGAGGACAACAACAATCCTTGGAAAATAGTACTGCGAAGATAGCAAAGAATCAGAACCAAAGCAGCCCAATGTGTAGAACGAGGAGCAGAAATAAACTGACTAACCAAATGAACAGCATTGGCAAGATCAGGGCGAGTAACTGTCAGATAGACTAAGCAACCCATGAGCTCTCGATATAAAGTAGGATCATGTACAGGAACACCATCAATAGTGTTAAGCTTCACATTAAGCTCAATGGGAATATGAGCAATCTTAAGTGTCAGTAGGGCCAGCACGATGAATAACCTTGTTAGCATACTTAGCGTGAGACAAAAAGTAACCATTGGGAGAAGAATCCACCTCAATACCAAGAAAGTACCGTAATAGGTTCAAATCCTTTATTTCGAAGGTACGGAAGAGATACTGCTTGACCTCAGAAATAACAGAACAATCAGAGCCAGTAATAATCATATCAACCATATACAGTAATAAGGCAACAAAACTAGCAAAGGTGTGGAGGAAAAACAAAGCAGAATCTTGGGCAAAAGGATGAAACCTAAGCTCAGTAATAGCAGTTTAAAAGCGATCATAGCAAGCACGAGGAGATTGCTTCAGACCATACAAAGCACGCCAAAGACGACAAACTTGTCCAGAGAAATGGTGAAGGCCAGGAGGAGGACGCATGTAAACCTCCTCAACGAGATGACTATTAAGAAAAGCATTCTTAACATCCAGACAAATATCAAAGTACGGACAATAGTTATCTTGGCAACAGGGGCAAAGGTCTCCTCATAATCAATATCATACTCTTGTGAAAAACCCTTGGCAACCAAGCGAGTCTTGGAGCACTCAAGAGAACCATCAAAATGAGTCTTGCCTTTGTAGACCCATTTGCAACCAACCAGATTTTTGCCAGCAGGCAACGGAACTAACTCTCAAGTAGTAGTCTTCTGTAAAGCAGACAACTCATCCTCCATAGCTCGAACCCAATTAGGATCCTGACAGGCCTCCTTATAAGATTGGGGTTCTGAAAAAGAGTGAATAGCAGACAAAAATGTGCAGTATGAAAGAAAAATATGTGTTAGCAAAACCCAGTTTGACTATCTGTTTATGGATGCAAAGAAGATACTTACGATTAGCAAAATCAGAGTCGTCAAAAGCAGGGGGATTAGCAGCAAGGGTAGAGACAACAGGTGGAGGGAGAGCCTTGCGACAAGAATAGACCAACAACGGAGGAGGAGGAAGAGGAGGAGGAGGAGCAGGTGGGGGAGTAGGAGGAAAAGACGAAATAGACTCATGGGGGTCAGGGAAGAGGGAGTCATCAGGTAGGGTGAGACGAGGATGAGAGGGAACAAACTCACGGGGAACAGCAGAGATGTACTCATCAGAAGGGACCTCATAAGGAAATGGATTAATATAAACCAAATCCTCTTTCAAAACTAGGGCTGTAAGAGGAGGAAACTTAAAGTAAGGTAGACGTTCAAGAAAGGCAACGTGGCAGGAGACATATAGGTGACGAGAAACAAGGCCATAACAGCGATAACCTTTCTGAGTGAGACTGTAACCCAAAAAGACACACAAGACAGATCGAGCACTCAGTTTGGTCCTATCTTTACGGGGTAAAAAGAAAAAACAAGCAGACACAAATACACGAAGAAGGGAGTAATTGGGAAGCTGAGAAAACAGCGTCTCATAAGGAGACTGACCAGACAGAAGGGGAGTAGGCATATGGTTGAAAAGAAAAACAATAGTAAGAACTGCCTCACTCCAAAACAAAGCCGAAACAGAGGCACAGAGAAGAAGAGACCTAGCTGTCTCCAGAAGATGACGATGTTTACGCTCAATGCAACCATTTTGGGCAGGTGTGTCAGTACAGGAAGTCTGGTAAATGGTACCCAAATTGGCCAAATACTCACAGAACTAAGTTTTAAAATATTCCACACCTAAGTTAGACCGTAACAATTTAATAGTAGACCCAAACTGTGTAGTGACCATAGATTGAAAAGTACGATATATCTAGTAGAAGTCAAACTTATGAGTCATAAGATAAACCCAAGTGTAACGAGTACAGTCATCAACAAATGACACATAATATGCAGAACCCCTTTTAGTGAGAACATGAGGACCCCATACATCAATATGAACTAAAGAAAATGATGTATCAGATATAGAAGTACTTTTTCAAAAAGGTAAGACTGTCATTTTGACAAGTTTACACCCTCGACACTCTTTAAGTTGACTAGGAGAAACTTTACCCAATATACCTGACTGAGTTAAAGACCGTAGGCGGTCAACAGACAAATACCCTAATTTGGAATGCCACAAATAGAAAGGACTTGATAGAGAATCTAACTAAAAAAAGGAAAAGGCAATTGGAAAGGTACTCATAGGCAAATGCAAACTCTCCACCACAGAGCTCTCCAATTCTACGGCCAATCCCAACCTGCCGCTGGGACATCCGATCCTGCACAGAACAGATAGAAGTAGAAAAGATAACATCAAAACCAAAAGCATTAAGCTGACTGATAGATAATAAACTGACAGATAACTGAGGAACATACAAGACAAATGGAATAGAAACAGCAAACATAGTAGATGGTAGGACAAACCTAACAAATATAACAAACGTACTAGACCTATTAGCAGCATTGACAGT